CTTCAATTGAATGCCAAAAAACACGTTTTCCCATTGTTTGTTGTCAAATAAAAAGTTTCACCACGAAAATTGGTGTACTCATTTTATACGTCCATATTTTAAATACCCCCCTGAAAAACCAGAATTTACAATTATTTCGGGCAAATTTGCTAATATGATTAGCCTATTTATCTAAATTTGGCAAACGTTCTGTGTTATTTTATGGTTTTCAGTACGAGTCTTTGGTTCGATCAGTTGTATTAGTCTTCTGATAGTGCGTATACTTTCATTCAATAGTGAATTTATACTGTACGGTTATAGAGTGCTCATAAACCACCTTAGTCCCAATTAATTTAAACAAATTGTGTAAAATGGCGCTCAAATTTTCATCCATCAATTTTACGTTAAAATATAGTATTCTTGGATTTCGTCATCCCCTTCAAAAAAAGTTTGGCCGGCCTCTTCCGTAATATGAGTGATTATGTTATTGTGTGGTTTCGCGGATCAATATACGTATAAACGGGCAAATCCAAAGATAGTTCATACGTATGAATATAAAAAAGTCACCAACATCGTTAGATGTGAACCGAATTTTAATCGAGAGACAAACTGTACTTAATGCTATGACTGTCATAAATAATGATAGTTCAGTCATTTGGGTTCCTTACATAATCTATACAAAAAATCCACATTTTCATGAAGAAAAAGAAGTAAATGAAACCGTAAGGGAATTTGATGCCGAAAATGGATCAGGAACAGGGCATGGGTGTGCTCCATATATGCTGAATAAAGAGCTTCTAATGGAGGAACCACTGGCTTTTGAGCCTAACTGGTTATAAAGTCATTCTGGTTTTATCTAACGCAGTTTATTTGGCTTTTCTGTTTTTACCGGCCTTGCTTTTTACATTATATAAACATTCATATTTCTCATACTCGTTCAGTAGTATGTCACACTTCACACAGCTCTTTTGATCATTACATCATTAAAGTTTTTAATCTATAAGTAGAACAGCATAAGCAGGGGAGCTACGCGAAACTGATGAACATAACTGATAACATCAACTGATGAAAGTGTTTGAGGTTAGGCGTGTTTTTGCCAACCAACTATCATCTGATCTAATCTCTAAAAAACACCAAGTAGTTAACACAAAACATAATTCCTTGATACGTAGCGCTTGTATCAGCCAGTGTACTGCTCCAAATGCGCAGTAGTCGTCTGCGCACTTTTATTATTTAGAACAGGATCCCAAAATAAATGCTGTCTGACACTATCCTTAATTTTGTACGAAATTTAGCGTACTAAATTTAGCACAAAATATGGTATCGCGACAGACAGCCTTAAAACAGAATGATAGAGAAATATTTTCAATACACGCGTCCCATGCGCCTCTAACTTGCTTCGAGGTCTGATCGGTGTCTGAATCATAGAAGCGCTTCGAAAGTATCGTATATTATCATATACAGTGGCGTAGTGTGGGCTAATTTGTTTGAAAGGGGCGCAGTTGTGGTTTAAGGATTAGTGCTCCAGGCAGAGGAGGGAGGCGCAGGTTGGCAGGTGTAATGGGTGTAATAGTACTCGAAGAATAGACAACTAAATAACTAGATTCGACATGGGCGGCGAAACAGTGCATTCATTGACTGAGAATTAACGTATGTCCAAAAGATTTCGCACACAATTTTTATCGTTTTGGGTATGGCATGATGTAAGGTCTGACCAAAACATGATTTGATCGTTAGCATCATGAAAGTTGGCAAACTGATGCAATTTGGAAAGGTAGTTATTAATATAGCTCTGACTATTCAAAGCTTCACCCTCACTCTTCCCACAAACACTTCTGCTTGTAAATGTAATTATAAAATTGGGTATACTTACATAAATCGTTATAACTCAATTAAGGATTTGGGTGTAGTTTTTGACCATAATTTTTCACTCCGCATAGCTCAAAAGGTAAGTGAAGCTTCGAGGGCGTACGGTTTTATTGTGAGAAACTGTAGAAGCTTTAGCCGCCCAAAGTCACTGTTGGTTTTGTATTCTGCATACGTATATATTAGATCGAAATTGGAATATGCATCGTTAATTTGGAATCCAATTTACAACTGCTACATTAAAGTATAAGGGAAATTGATGGATTAAAAAAAGAACCGACAGAATTTCTATCTCGAATACATCAAAAGAAATTGAATTGAAAAATACCTACACTGGTGCCTAATGTCTGATTTTTAATTTTTTTAATTGTTTCAATTGTGACACCGTAACCTGGATGAGATATACCTGACTGTGACTTCACCAAACTGTGAATTCTATTTACCTAATGTTGACAATTTATATTATGGTCATGATATGTCATACTATTGAGTGCTGTGTTGATACATTATGCTAGTCACTCACGTATAAGGAGTATTATATATTTCATGCAAGACTCATTGCTTGTTTCTTGTTTTCTCTTTTTATTGAGATTGTATATTATTTTTTGGTCTCGTCTTGTAAATACTTCTTGTAGTACCCTCGTATCTGACCAAACTCACGAGTTCAAAGCGCTTTGCTTCGCTGCGTGCGCGCTTTGTATTCGAGGGTTTGGTCAGATACGTGGGTACTACAAGTAGTATTTTACAGGTAAATTCATTTGATCACGTAATTGTAACATACTGTGCCGAATAAACTTTGCTACAACTTAGTATTATCCATACATGTATCTAGTAAATCTAGGTTTCAATACATCGTAGAAGCTCCTATATATGTTTTAACAGAAATAATTTGTATTACTGCGTAAACCTCCTCGTTTATGACAGGTATTTGAAAAGTCCAAGGAATGCGTCATTTTTGCCGAAACATATATAGTAGTTTCTATGTTAACATATCTTTGAACTTAGGCCTTAGATACCTTAGCCTTGTGCCCATGGAGATTCTTATTTAGGAGGTCATAGTTTATAACATGCGGCAAAGTCAACCAACTTCATTGTCTCATATGTTTTGTACCGTATTCCTGCAAGTCTTATTCTGGCATTTGGTCTTGATTTGGTTGTACAGTTTTCGTGAGGTTTTCCATGCATGAAGTGTTTAGGCGCCCCTTTCAATGTGGAAATACTGAGGTTACTCCTTTGAAATTCTAAAATCACTGAACTACATTGTCCAAGTAGCACATGAACGTGGTGGAAATCAAAATTAGACATTACGCTATTACCGGTGATAATGTCGATAATTATGGGAAAATATACCAAGTGCTTGATGCCTCCTGATTTGGGCAACAGTTACGTGAACGACATTTTTATCAGAATATTGCATCGAACGCACTTGTCATAGAAATGCTTTTATTTTGGTCATATTGGACATGATCAGTCTCAAGAAAAGGTTCAGTGAACCGGGTAAAGCATGAATTTACTGAGGTCAACACATTATTCTTTACATACTACGCCAACTGGCGATAATCTATTGAAATCGCTGAAAAAATTCAAATTTTTCCTTGCCTCAAATTGACTGACAAAGTACCCTTGCACAATATGTGATCCGTGGATATTGGTGGCTTCTTGTTACAAGTTGACGCTTAAAGTCTTCAATATACACTAGAAGGAGACTACGGTCTGCAGTTCGCAAACAGTGTGATAGGCAAAGATCGTCATTTTAAACCAGTGAACTGGTCGGGTTGGAAAGGGGCACTTCGTTGGATAAAACGGCGATAAAAATGTACTCCAATCTTGAAAATCACACCACATCAATGAATTCAAATGGTGTAGGTTTCACACGGCAATTTTTCAAATCATCTCTCCAGTCATCCGGTACCTCACTGATCGGGAATATTTCTTTCACAGTAGTAAAAATATTTGTCTTGGTAACCAAGTAATGCAATAACCGAATAACTATGAAGTTTTTATTTTGTCCTGCACAGGAGTCACAGAAAATGGCAAGTTCTTTTACTTCCATAGGCAGGATGTTACAAAAAAGTGATACAGCATAGAATAGCCATCGTCAGCTCCTTTCTTAGCAATAGATTCATCGTAGGTATAAAAGATAGAATTTGAGTTTGACAGAATGTGGATGTTAAAACTGATGAAATTCAGTTGCCGCTTATAGTAAACATCATTTGTCGTGATATTTGGACAGGGGAAGTTTTTTTGGTAATCCATCGTGATACTTTCGATAGCGGGGAACTTCGAGGCACGTTTGCGGTAAGTTCTCTTTACACTGTAAAATCGCTCACTCCTTTTCTGATGTAGCGTCTTCTCAAGTATCTTTTTCTCCAAATTATTACTTGCTGACTGCCTAGTTTGTTCCGTGTGGGAATTTAAGGTAGCGGTAAATGAAGATATATCAGCTTTTAAGGAATCACACGTACTACAAGTATCTTTTCGTAGATAACCGAACGATATATTGAAAACAATCTAAATGATAGCAGGTTATACCTACAAGGGTTTGCCGACTTTTATGATATAAAAAGACATTGGCAATTTATGTTTTGAAAATGATAGCATCAAGATGGCCTCCACATCTCTCTTCCAAACGGAATCTCAAGTTGTTGTCGAACAGTCGCCTGCAAGAACTCGTCCATCTTTGTTTTCCTTCAGGTTACAGCCGTATCCAGATGCGATGCAATCCATTATTGTGGAAAAGCCCACGATTTTCTTTTGTTATTTAAAGTATTTATGATAACTGGTTGTGAAATTGTGGTGATAACCTTTTGTATGAAATTTGAAGGGTTCTTCTATATGCACTATGTCTATAATATAAGCGATTTCAATATAAAAAGATAAATCTGACCGCAGAGGACTAAGGTGGTATCACTTGACGGAGTCAACTTGACAATCATCATTTTTAAATATAGTGACTCAACGTGCAGTTGCGTATAACAGCGTTTTTGTGAATGTAGTAACCTATCAGTGCTGAGCGACGCATACTTGATATTGTACTCGAAAACAGAGGTGTCATTTCTCTCTTATCATATTTGTTAGGATTTTTCAGCACAAAATGTATTTTTATTGTATACACCTTTATGAGAGGCTATCAAACGGATTTTTTTTTGTTTCAGGTACACAAACCGCTAAGTCAAAGATAATGAAAACAATAAAAAAAGCGTGCCTGCCAAAACTGATCTGTGAACTAACTGCGACTCCACAAAAAGAAAAACTGACAGATTCAGAAAAGTCTCTTCTGAACCTTTTGAGGTAGGAACTCTTTCCCTTCTACACCCTCTTTCTTCTATAGAATAATTTAGTCTAACAACGCAAAATTTGATTTTTCATCCTTCGAGTATACGAGTAAACAAAACTTGGTATATTGGGGTAATTTGATTGAAGGATTCAAAAGTGTCACGAAGCCCTATTTAAAGTAACAAATTTGGGATTTCTGAACGTCTCGTTATTGACAAATTATTGGAAACACTCATTCCAGTTGTGAAACAATTATTTCTTCAAGAAACAACAGGAAGGTATATTAGAAATCTACTTCCCAGTTTAGTTCTCCAATCTCCATCTAACAGAATTTTTTTGAGACGTATTTCGTCGACCAGTCATAAAACAGTGTCCATCTAACTTGACGAAACTTTTGAGCGGTAGTGTAAATGTACAAGAAATCATATTAATAATTGCTAAAAATGATGTGTGATATAAATCAAGCCTAATATCACATTCTAAACAGCGCTTAGTGTACGGAAACTCACTATACCCGTAGGGTATTTTTACCAACGGAAACTTCCTCCTTTCTTCAGTCTGCCATACGGGTTTATTATTCAGATTTAGACTGACTTGCAGAAAGCTCGTGGAATATTACGGTGAATATGGGCCAACGAGCTACAGTGCTACTTTCACCTGTGATGTAAGCGCTGCGGTAACATTTAATCGTATTCGTATTTTACAAGACATCATATTCAGTTTAAGGTTGTTATTATATAACCGATGATGTATCTGTAAGCGCATATGTTTTGCGCGGTAGCATACCATGATACGAGGAGTATTGACGTCAAAAGCCCGTATACTCGGTGTACAACATCAAATACAGTCTGTCTATAGGTTGGGATTTTCCTATGCTCTTGAAAGATAAGCAAAATACAATGTTAATAATAGGCTTCTCTGCCCTCTCGGGAAACTAACGCAGCCCAATGAAAAGATTTTTGTCTAGAAGTAGCCAGCATTTTTATCGGAAACCGAAAAAATGGCGCCAAGTAGGTTGACTCTATACTTCCTACGCCTTCGTTGGGGATGAGTCAAATCGTTTCAAAAGGCGAAGTCGAATCGGGATTAGTTTAGTTTACTCTTATCTATCAATCTATCAATCTATCATCTATCAATCTATCAATCTATCATCTATCAATCTATCAATCTATCAAATCTATCAATCTATCAATCTATCAATCTATCAATCTATCAATCTATCAACATCAATCTAGCAATCTATCAATCTATCAATCTATCATCGATCAATCTATCAATCTATCATCTATCAATCTATCAATCTATCAATCTATCAATCTATCATCTATCAATCTATCAATCTATCAATCTATCAATCTATCAATCTATCAATCTATCAATCTATCAATCTATCAATCTATCAATCTATCAATCTATCATCTATCAATCTATCAATCTATCAATCTATCAATCTATCAATCTATCAATCTATCAATCTATCAATCTATCAATCTATCAATCTATCAATCTATCAATCTATCAATCTATCAATCTATCAATCTATCAATCTATCAATCTAACAATCTATCAATCTATCAATCTATCAATCTATCAATCTATCATCTATCAATCTATCAATCTATCAATCTATCAATCTATCAATCTATCAATCTATCAATCTATCAATCTATCAATCTATCAATCTATCAATCTATCAATCTATCAATCTATCAATCTATCAATCTATCAATCTATCAATCTATCAATCTATCAATCTATCATTATCATCGATCAATCTATCAATCTATCAATCTATCAATCTATCAATCTATCAATCTATCAATCTATCAATCTATCAATCTATCAATCTATCAATCTATCATCTATCAATCATCATCTATCAATCTATCAATCTATCAATCTATCATCTATCAATCTATCAATCTAGCAATCTATCAATCTATCAATCTATCTCTATCAATCTATCAATCTATCAATCTATCAATCTATCAATCTATCAATCTTCAATCTATCAATCTATCAATCTAATCAATCTATCAATCTATCAATCTATCAATCTATCATCTATCAATCTATCAATCTATCAATCTATCAATCTATCAATCTATCATCTATCAATCTATCAATCTATCAATCTATCAATCGATCAATCTATCAATCTATCAATCTATCAATCTATCAATCTATCAATCTATCATCTATCAATCTATCAATCTATCAATCTATCAATCTATCAATCTATCAATCTATCAATCTATCAATCTATCAATCTATCAATCTATCAATCTATCATCTTCAATCTATCAATCTATCAATCTATCAATCTATCAATCTATCAATCTATCATCTATCATCTATCAATCTATCAATCTATCAATCTATCATCTATCAATCTATCAATCTATCAATCTATCAATCTACAATCTATCATCTATCAATCTATCAATCTATCAATCATCATCTATCATCTATCATCTATCAATCTTATCAATCTATCAATCTATCATCTATCAATCTATCAATCTACAATCTATCAATCTATCAATCTAATCAATCTATCAATCTATCATCTATCAATCTATCAATCTATCAATCTATCAATCTATCAATCTATCAATCTATCAATCTATCAATCTATCATCTATCAATCTATCAATCGATCAATCTATCAATTATCTATCAATCTATCAATCTATCAATCTATCAATCTATCAATCTATCAATCAATCAACCTATCAACCTATCAACCTATCAACCTATCAACCTATCAACCTATCAACCTATCAACCTATCAACCTATCAACCTATCAACCTATCAACCTATCAACCTATCAACCTATCAACCTATCAACCTATCTACCTATCAACCTATCAACCTATCAACCTATCAACCTATCAACCTATCAACCTATCAACCTATCAACCTATCAACCTGTCAACCTGTCAACCTATCAACCTATCAACCTGTCAACCTATCAACCTATCAACTTATCAACCATCAACCTATCAATCTATCACCCATCAACCTATCAATCTATCAATCTAACCTATCAATCTATCAATCTATTAACCTATCAACCTATCAATCTATTAACCTATCGACCTATCGACCTGTCAACCTATCGATCTAATCAATCTGTCAATCTATCAGTTTATCTTTCTATTGATCTATGTATCTATCTATCTATCTATCTATCGATCTAGTGATCTGCCGTTCTGTCGATCTGTCGATCCATCGATCTATCAATCAAAGGCGCTAACAGTAGCGTCATGCTGCCCCCTTCCGTTTTGGTACCCAAGAACTAGACAGGGTGATCCGCAATGAATGCAACAACCGCAAATATTTCCATTATTTTAAGGGTAAATATTTCCCGTTAGTGTTCGTCGTGTTTAGCACCAAAAATACTACGAACCAGCTGCCTTTTGTATCATAAAAATTTTATGTAACAGAGAATGTGAGGCATTCGCCCAACAGAGAGTTAAATATCACATTGTATGCTGTTAGGGCAGAGTCCGTATCGATAATATGCGTATTGCATATACTACCCGAGGCAGTTTTTCCCTTTCATCCACTCTATTTATACTTGAAGAAAACCTCATCGGCGAGCATCGTTGTTATTGAAGGATTTCATGTGTCCAGGCAAACCATTAATGTACATAGTGAACAGAAACGGCCCAAGTATTGAGCCCTGTGGTGCTCCGTACATATAGTTGGTTCAATAGGGAGAAATATGCTACGGATCAGAAAATGACCATCATTGTGTGGTTATAAATACTTCAAAACATCAATATGGTTGAGGTGTTTACGAGTTCAATTCAATGATCACGGATCACTTCCTATGTATGGTGTGGTTTTAGCTCAAGTTCCATCATACAATTTGATATATCACATTATACATATATAGGCGTTCTAATTTTAAATAATGGGGGTGTGAAAGCATAACATAAGGGGATGTACTTACAGTGGCGATGAGGCACGAAAGTCAATAAATGTCTAGAACGCCCGTATATTTAATGTTATTAGGTTTCATTATCTGTTTAAAAATGCACGATGCAGTTGTACCCTTGCGAGCTAAGAAGTCATAAAACGTCTAAAAACAGTAAATGTGTCAGAAGCAATAGTAGTAAAGTTAGAAAAAATAGCAACAGACAAGATGACGACTCAAAGTCTCCCACGTAGTTCGCTTTCAGGAATTTATTTTTAAACAGGTAATTAAAGAAAGGTATTCTCGGTCGATAAAATCTTTGTGCTTTTCTTTAGCCGGAAATGGTGCATTTGTACCTAGTTAAGGGTTTAAGAAAACATTGTAAGCACGAATTGTGTGATCTCATGATTCAAGGTTATGTGATTCAAATGTGTTTGACATTACTGATAGACTAGGCCAACTACAATGGCTACAAAATAAGACTCTTGGGTGCAGGGTTATGTCGTTGGACAGCTTGCCAAACGAGGTTATTCTTGAAAAAAAAAGAAAAGAAAAAAGTTTTTTTCACTATCAAGAAGGATACTGGTCGACGAACAAGCTCGCAACAACAAATCAGAGAATGAGAATAGGGTCCCGTTTTAGGGTAAGGCGCGGTTTAGGACTTTTTCTTTTCCCCCTGTTATTATACTGAGTGACAAAAAAAGGTAAACACCTACATATGTTTATCCGGTTTTAATAATTTTTGGCATATATGCTGTCCCTAGTAGTAAAATGATTAAATTTTCAACTTCATTCGTCAACTGACTAGAAGCTTCTTCAATAATGTGTTGAGGACGATTTCTTATACACTTATTGACACGCCTGGGCATCGTGCTGATAAGGTGGTCGATATCCTGTTGGGGCATCTCATTTCAGGCTACTGCAACTTCGTGAGTAAGAGCTGCTAAAGTCTGTGGAGGGTGTTACAAATTCAAGAGCCTGCGACCTACCATGTCCCAGACATGTTCAATTGGAGATAGGTCAGTCGATCGTGGTGGTCAAGGTTAATGGTCGATGCGATGTTGATCCATGAAGGCTAACGTTGCTCTGGCAACATGCGGTCTGACATTGTCTTGCTGAAAATTCGGGTTTTGGATGGTGTCTAGGTATAGAACAATGTGAGGCTCCACTACTTTTTTTTATGCTCCAACTACCACGAAGGCCTAAGGGCTAAACACCCATTGGGTACCGTGGAGCTATAGGGGGATACATGGGAAAGGGGGAACGCCACACGGACTCTGGTGCATGCAGCATGCACACATTCTGGCTCCGCCTACGAGATCCGCCGGGTGGTACCTCCGCGTTCGACAGTCAGAGACCGTCTACCACCTACCACTAAGTATGGTATCAATTCATCACAAGCACACACACACAGAACCTACTTACAAAACCCCACTGTAGAGAACAGACAAGCTGACGTCGAGTCCAGAAACAAATATAACGAAGCGGTTCGCAATGCCAAAAACCAGCATGATATAAAAGTTAGGCACAGGGTAATGTCGGTCTTTCTGGACGCTGGCCAAGCAGATTGAAAAGAACTTCTCACACAGTAGCCTTCCACCACTTACGTGTCACGATGGAACTATTGTATTCGACTTTTCGATCTTTGCTGCCAACTCCACCAACGCCCAAGTGCCGTCAATTCAAAGGGTTCCCCACACTATGCGGGAGGTAACATTCAGGCATAAGACCGTAAGACGAGTGCTCTTGTCGCTCGACATCAACAAAGCTTCTGGTCCGGACTTGATACCTGCCATTTTACTGAAGAGATGTACAGCGGAGCTTGCTCCAGTTCTTTCGCGTCTCTTCCAGATATATTATGAATCCGGCACCTTCCCAGAAAACTTGAAATTTGCTCATGTACAGTCCATCCCAAAAAAAGGATCTAAGACCGACCCTTACAACTACAGGCCTATAGCTCTGCTTTCTGTTATAAGTAAAGTGATGGAGAGGTGCATAAATCGCGAGCTGCTGGACTACCTCGAACGTCACAGCTTGATTAGCGACAAGCAGTACGGTTTCCGGCACCAACGATCCACAGGGGACCTCCTAGCTTACGTCACGCAAGTGTGGAGTAAACTCATCGAGTCTCATGGTGAGGCTCATGTCGTTGCTCCTGACATCACGAAAGCGTTCGATCAGCTGTGGCACGCTGCCCTCTTAAGCAAACTTCCATCCTATGGCCTCCCAGAAAAGCTTTGCAGATGAGTGGCCGACTTTATCTCTCGCCGCAAGATATCCGTCGTAATTGACGGATTCTCCTCTTCATCCCACAACGTCAACGCGGGTGTTCCCCAGGGATCGGTCTGGGCTCCAACACTGTTTCTCTTACATATCAACGACCTCCTTTCCTGCACGATCAACCCAATCGACAGCTTCGCTGATGACAGCACTCTACATGCAGGAATTCACAGTGACAAGCCGATCTCTGCCGCTGAACTGGAAAAAAGAAGACTAGCGACGACTTCTTCTCTGACAAGAGACCTGGAGGCTATCACTGCTTGGGGATGCAACCATCTTGTACAGTTCAATGCTTCCAAAACACAGTACTGTACTTTGACGAACAAAAAGCGTCCTAGCGCTCATACAGTTTCGATGGACGGCCGAGTTCTACCAAAGAGCCATTCATTTCGGCTGGTCGGAGTCCAGATCACCGAGGACCTGATCTGGCACGAACACATCTCTTCAATAGCTGCAGCATGACCTTCTCACTGTATACAAGGCCCAGATAAGGCCTAGCCTCGAGTATTGCTCACACATTTGGGGTGCTGCCGCCCCGACTACATTGTCCATGCTCGATGCTGTCCAGAGGAGGGCGGTCCGACTGATCGATGGCTATTCTCTAACAAACAGTCTCGGGACTCTTTCGCACCGGCGGGTCGTCGGCGATCTAGCTCTTTTCTATCGCTACACCAACGGGCTTTGCTCCTCAGAGCTCCCTTCCTTGATGCCGCCGCGCGATGTGCCTGCCAGACAGACCCGCCTGACTTCGGCGTCCCATCCTAACCGTGTCAAACTTCGTACATCCAGAACTGGCCGATACGACCGCTCCTTTGTCCCGAGGGTGTCTAGATTGTGGAACAATCTACGGGAGAAAGCTTTTCCCAGTTCTACTAACCTTAGGCAGTTCAAAAATCGTATTAACAAAATTTCTTTGGGATCATCATAGCAGTCGCGGTGTTCCGGCATTTAGGCTTCTGCCTGCGCGGCTGTTTCGATATAAAAAAAAAATACTTCTTAGTGTATTCCATGTTCATTGATAAATTTCAAATGATTTTGTGCATGTTATTTCAATAAAAATCATTATTATTACCACATACCAATGCAGAAACCCAAACAAGTTGATATCGTAAGTACCTGTTATTGTTTATTCCAATCGCATGATGCTAGGAGTTAGAAATTTGGGATTGTCTTTCGAATCATAACCATTATGATTTTCCAGAGATACCACCATCAGCACAACTGCCGAAGTGACATCCAAATACCATTTTGCTGCTCATATGGGTCAACTTATAAGCGGTGTAGACAGCAATGGTTGCCATAACTTCTATCCTGGCTGTCCTTTTCCTGGATTCCAAGTACTCCAGATGATGAAAAAGGTCAGAATGCGATAGCCAAAAACAGTGATGGTGATTTTATAAAAATATCCTAAGTAATTATCGTTCTATCTTACAGAACCCGCATACTGATACTCTGTGATATATTTTAAATTTAAGCAGGATTAATCAATTTATTATGAAATAAAACGATGATCGAATAGCTCAGCAGATATTGCGAAGGAGATGTATTGTCAGTTTCTCAAATATGTTATATTTATGTTACGGTAAGACGTACCAGAATGAAATAATCATGATGTCTATAAGCGTACTGGTAAAATTAATCTTTAAGACGTTGTGATATCTATTTCATAGGTATTTATTTCAAATCGTATATATGTGTAGTTTTTTTAATATATATTGTTCTGATATAACGAAAATAGAATAGAAATGAATTGAAATTAGTTTTGAGGTAATTTTGAACTTTCAACTAACTAAGAGGGCCACATGATGCTGTCCTCAAAAAATAATTGACTCGTTTAGAAAGATGTTATTTTTTACATTGTGTATAATAGTGAATCAAACATGATCTTGGAACTGAAAAAATGTACCATTATTTATATTTATAAATTTTGACGACAATACGGTTGTTGTTATTACTGAAATGTCAGTGGTAAATTTGACGAGTTATCAGTTTATTTTAAAGTTACCTTTGTTATATACTAAGTGACATATAAATCCGAACACCCAGTTTAAATGGTTTTATTTTAATAAAATTTTGTATAAGTACTTAATGAAGCATAATAAGTAAATGATAAAAATTTCAAAATGATTACACTGCTTTAAAGCCCTTTGACCTTTAATAATGTGTGGATGCACCCTGATGTGCTACGCATTCTCCAACGCACCTAGGCATGCTTCTGATCAGGTGGTCAATGTCCTCCTGTGGTATCTCATTCCAGGCAACCACCAACTCCTCTCAATGTGACATCATTATGTTGAAAGAAGTCTATTGTGACTCTTGCAACATGTGGTCGGGCATTATCTTGTTGGAAAGTTGGATCTGCCAGGGTGTCAAGATAGGGTAAAAGATGGGGTTCTAGAACTTCGTGGATATAACGCTGCGCGTTCATGTTACCGCTGATGAAGATTAAACCATAACTCCAACAGTGTGATGAACATGTCTTTCAACAGAAAACTGTGGATTCCTCCTTTCACCACGTCGCCTTCTAACCCTGGCACGAGCATCGTGCATGCCTAAACAAAATCGAGACTCGTCACTAAAGACAATACTGTTCCGGTCCTGATCCCAGAGTGACCGTTGTCTGCACCACTCAAGGCGATTACGTCGGTGTTCTCGAGTTAAAGGGAGGACCCAGTGTGGCCGGTATGAAAACAAGCCAAAACTTCTCATTCGTCGGTAAACACTTCGCATGCCAATAGGTCTTCCGTGTTCTGCAAACCATTCATTTGCAATGGACCTGGTAGTGGAGAAACGGTCCTTTAAGGCCAATAATCTTAGGCGGCGATCTTCACGGTCTGTTGTTCTACGGCGGTGTCCAGTGCCCCTTGCTCTTTGCGTACAGCCTTCTCGAAGCTATGTCTGACAACACCTAACCACAGTGTCTACACTTCTTTGCACTCTAACTGCAATTGCCCGAAAAGAAGGTCCAGCTTCCCGAAGTCCCACTATACGGCCCCTATCAAACTCACTAAGTTGACGAAATCGTACAGGTCTCCGTACTCTAGGCATCGTAATCGATCGTAAAGGATGTCAAGAACCAAAATCCGCCAACGTTGATTCTTTACTGCGGCTGAAATATTCATTTTTAGAGCGTTAGTGAATTAAAAATAAACAGTATAAAAACCGGAATGTCCAACTGATAAGGCTGAAAATTTTTTCACTTGTTATTTACAGTAAGATAAATACATTCTCCAACTTTTATTAAAATAAAACCATTTAAACTGGGTGTTCGGATTTATATGTCACTTAGTATATTAAAGCGCTTAAGCCTCTGTAGAAGATACGTTTTTACTTCATAGGTATACATAATTAAAGAAAACTTAGCAGCTCAGAAAGATGATCTTCATGAGATGTTTGTGGATTAGAACCCATAACAATATTAAGTTCTTGGATAAGATATGAAACATCTTGAACAAGGATTATTTGGGACTATTTGCCTATTTTGATAGCTTCATCTCTCTGAGCTGTATGACCTATTATCACCGCCTAAAATAAGTTGTACATAAACAAAAGAGGTAAGGGAATGGATGCAATATTTTTGTAGCTCTATCGGAAGCTTATCTATATTTATTATTTCGTCGTGTACTTTCCGTGTCAAGTACATCCTGCTACTTTAAAGAAACATGTATTTAGAAGTAACTGTAAGAGTTAAATACAATATAGCTGCCAAAAGCTGGCGGAAAACACTCATTTTATTAAATTATAGGAACTCGTTGAACATATAAGCAGAATGAAGATACATCGCAGTATCGACTCCACTTTTTTTGCAGACATTTCTTGAAATATACTCAGTGACATTAGAAGTGTTAAAGACAGAAGAAATAATTTCTTCAACTTGATTTTTGGCAATCAAGAATACGAGTATAACGATAACATGCTCACGAAATTTTAATGAGAAAAAATTAATAATGTGTTGTGCGACCCCGCAGCTGAATACATCCCTGTATACGTCTAGGCATCGACACAATGAGTTTATCGATGAATATAGTCATTATGTTGCCAAAAAAACAAGTTGAAGAAATTATTTTTTCTTCTAATGTCACAGAGTATACTTGTGTCTGAAAACCATGTTATTTGAACAGAATCACGGGAGTTACCGCATCTCTGAAATATGATATCCGACCAACGATGTATCTTCGAATGTCGCTTCATACAACCATAGGTCCTTTCTAGGTGTAGTTGTAGTTTAATTGTTTGTAATTTTGTAAATGATGTCAAATAAGGTTTGAAAATAAAGAGATGTACATCCCTAGCATCCCACGAACCTGCTGGAAGATTTGAAAACTATTGTGAATTACATCGTCGCATCCAGTGATTGACTCTGGTTCTGCGAACATTGCCATAATCACGTTTCGTACTCAAATCAGCAGTCGTTTTTAATCCACACCTCACCTCTTCCTAGACCGTTGATTAACGTATTCTACCTGAACATAGCCCTAATGCTACACTCGCGCGTCCAAAAAGTTATCCAAGAATAAACAAGATTCTATACCGTCATCCATGTCACAGCTCTTTGTGTACTTACTGTATATACCTTGGTAAGGCTAGTGTCTCATAGATGGCGCAGTCTACATAAGCATGTAACGGGTGTTTTTTTTTCGAGATATAGAACTTTAAGTTGGCATTACTTTTGAAGATGGCGATCGATTTGACAGCTGTTAAGTGATTTATTCTCAGTTTGGTTTGGCAATTCATCATGAATAGACTCACGCCTGAACAACGCTTGCAAATTGTGCAGTTTTATTTCGAAAATAATGGTTTTGTGCGGAATACGTATCACGCACTACGTCCATTTTATCGTCGACAAAATCGTCCATCGGAGCAGGTAATTCGATTAACCATGGAACGTTTTCGCACCACGTTCATTCTAATTAATAACTCGCTTCCCCAGAGACGTCGTACGGTACGTATTGCTACTGTAGAGCGTAGCATTGAGGAAGACCCGAATGAGTCCATCCGACATCGAGCACAGGAATTGGATCTGTGTCCATCCACTTTATGGAAGATTTTACGGAAGGATCTTGGTTTGCGTGCTTACAAAATTAAACTCGTGCGAGAATTGAAGCCAACCGATCATCAAGCGAGGCGTAGATTCGTTGAATGGGCCCAAAACGAGATTGCCGTTGTTCCCGATTTTCGTAAGCGAATTGTGTTTAGCGATCCAGCGCACTTCTGGTTGAATGACTACGTCAACAAACAAAACTGCCGCATTTGGAGTGAAGCTAATCCTTAAGTCTATGTCGAAAAACCGTTACATCCAGAAAAACTGACTGTTTGCTGCACTTTACGGGCTGGTGGAATCATTGGTCCGTACTTCTTCAAAAACGATGATGGCCAGAACGTTACAGTCAATGGTGATTAGTATAGAGCCACGATTACTAACTTTTTCATTCCTGGATTGAACAATCATTCTGTCCAGGAGCTGTGGTTCCAACAAGACGGTGCAACATGTCACACAGCTCGTGCTACAATCGATTTATTGAAAGACACGCTTGGTGACCGCCTAATTTCACCTTTTGGACCTGTGAATTGGCCTCCAAGGTCTTGTGATTTAACACCGCTAGACTATTTTCTGTAGGGCTATGTAAAGTCATTGGTCTATGCGGATAAGCCACAAACGCTTGACCATTTGGAAGACAACATTCGCCATGTTATTGCCGATATACATCCACAAATGTTCGAAAAAGTCATCGAAAATTGGACGTCCAGATTGGACTACATCCGAGTCAGCCGTGGCAGTCATATGCCAGAAAACATATTTAAAATGTAATGGCACAAGATTATCTTTCGAATAAAAAAATGCATGTCAATCGTAATAATCCATCGTTGTTTTATGCAATTTAAAGTTCTATACCTCTAAAAAAAACACACGTTACAATCATAAAGGTGGCTGCAGCGACAAATATGTCACTAATCCTGTTTCAAATTAGACCCTCACCATTGGGATGTCGGAATCTGTAAAAGATACGAAGTCGTTTAAATGGGGCAAAGTTGCGTATTTAGATAAATAAAAAAACGCTGCTTAGAAAGGTTTGAAACAAAAAAAAATCATAAAAGTGATATAGGGATGGATCTGGTATGAGAAACAAATGACTGATAAATTTCGAGGCCTACCTAGGAAATTCTGCTTTTTTTAAAAAACAAGGCTTCGCATGTGAATATATAACATATTATATATTTTGGGAACTACTACTTAAAGAATTAAAAACTCTACTTATCTGTGCAAAAATCCATTATGGAATCCATAATAAAAAATAAAGTTCACGCTGGAGGACAAGAGACGAAATGTCATATTGAAATTCAAATTATGCGAGAAAAA